GCGCTATTGATGTGAATTTGATGGTGTTGTGAACTTCATCTGATACGGAACCGTCTAATTTGTTGCAGTCATTCGACTAAAACAATCACTAAAACCAGGTCAGATATTTTTGGGTAACTTTGTGTACACCCACACAAAAGCACGAGCGGCCAAAACTATAGATGCTTATTATAAATGTTCTTTTTTATGTTTTTGTGCTTAATTAGGTCGATGTTGGGGCTAATCGACATCAGGTCGAAATTCGTGTACGCATTTATATGTTTGTGCACAGCAATATGTGTTTCATTATTAAATTCTACCTACACTGGGAGCTTCCACAAGTTCAAAGAGTATGCAAATGGTATTAGGTTATTCGGGAAGAAATTTCATTAAAGCTGTACCTCCGAATAAATTTAATCTAGACTATCTGTACGGATACAAGTCCAATATTCCAGTAATTGTTTGTACCTTACTCTGAATAAAATTTATATAATTTTAATACACAATCCATACTAAATTGATTCTACCAATTAAATACTCGTATACGACAAAAAAACCTCTAAGTTCCAATAAGTGGAAAAGAAATGTATTAACAAAATCTGTTTCTATGAAGCAAGCTCTCCAAACACATTTTATTAGACACATAGAAGTGGAAAAAATAAATACAAAAGCACAAAGAACTTTTCACTCCAAATAATAAATTAAATGAAACGCCAATTTTAAAAATAAAAGATTGAAGACTGAAATTAAAAAATGATTTTCCGAATGACCTAATTGTGTAAGCGTGAAATTTGTTGCTAAATTTTTGGATCTAATTAATGAAGCCACGAAAATATCATAAAGCTTCCAATTAAAAATAAATCACTTGATTATGATAGACACTGCCACGTGTTGATAAACGCTAATATTAGATCCAATTAGTAAAAAAGTGAAAGAACATTTTCAATTTTCGTTAAGATTACAAAAACTTTGAAGAATGTTATTAAAATTAATCAAATATATCTTAAGTAGCACAAACAACATTGATTTATTGCTCATCTATCTATGTAATATTTTATAATAAAAACAATTACCTATTTGTTTACCTTTAATGATCAAATTTTAAATTGATCCTTGATACTAATCTGGCATGAACATCTATTTCAAAACGATTTGTGATCATTCCCAATTTACTATTGTTAATAAATTAGTCGCTTGAACTCAATTGCATGATTTGTACCATCAGCAATATTCTGATTATTAATTGATTAATAATTACACAACAACTCAATTATCAGTTTCACGGGCACCTTAAAGTTATCTCTTGTTTATAAATGTAGAAAAATTATGTCACACGTTGAAATAAATCTTATCTTTATGTTTTCTGTGATAAAGTGAATCTAGATATTATGCAGTTCATGAAAAAGAAATAAATCTCAAAAATCGTCAAAAAAAATAAACCATTGTGAATTGGGATTCAACACCTTGAATTCGAAAGCATTTTTAGATTTGCGAGTATAATAGAATATTCGATATTAATACGTTTACCTAGCTTCCAACTAATATTTTTAAAGGTTGATTACAGGCTTAAATATTTTTTGATCAAGTTATAAAAACAAATTACGATTTATAGATGGTAAAAAAAATCCTGTATTAAGAAAAGAGCATATTTCATTATTCATTATTACTTTCTGTAAAATAAAATTAATTGAAAACACGTTTCCATAAATAACGAGTGTGTAATAATATCACACCACATATGGTTTACGAATTCGATTAATTCACCATGAACCGACGATAAATGTACAATCGAGAATTAACATATATCATTATCGAACACGATTATACTTTATCCCACGTGTCTGCATGCCTTGTGCTAATCAAAACTAAATTGCTTTTGCATTTTAGTTGCTAATTAGCTAACATTTCAATTAGTGAAATAAGGTTAATTAACTTTATTAACAAAACTGTAACAGGTAAGTTAAATAGGTAATTCTTGCATGCATTTTAATAATTAAATTTAATATTAATATAAATATTCACTACCATTTTTGTAGTGCATAAACGGGATATGATAAAGAGAAATGGTATAAAATCTAATAGCTCATAAAATAAACCTTTATTTCATTACAAGTTAGAGATTAAATGAACTAGGTGTGAGTTGCATTTTGCCCTAAGGCTCAATAAGAAATGATTTAGCTAATTTAGATAAAATTTTAGCTGTTTTGAAAACGAATCAATGCGATTTCCATTTGATATGTTTCATACAAATTTGAAACATCAGTAATTAAATTAATTATAGTGCACAAAAATAAACCTGCATATCCTAAAAGCGATGCCCATTATACAAAACTTTAATGAATTTTTATATTATTCAAGTACTTTTCGTAAGGCTATAATATTTTAAGTAAATCCATGATGAACCAATTTTACCATTACCTCTGTATCGGCATTGTAAATTTCATTAAAAACGCAGCAAGATATTTTAACTTTAATTAGGAAGATTCGATCATTGCCAAAAACTAATACGCACAAATCCAAACCTTTTTAAGAACAAAAGATTCCAAACCGATCTTTCGGGCGGTTTTTAAATTTCCAAAATCAATTCAGGGATTTTTCGTGCACGAAAAATTTTGCACTTTTCTGCAAAAGCTAAAGAACTCGACAGCAGATGCAAATACTTTTTGCAATCTTGGTTCCAAACGATTAAGATTGACTTGAGACGTCGAGGAAACATAAAATTAGCAAGTTAAATTTTCTGGCAAAAACATAAACTTCTAAGATACTTAATAAATATAAAGAGAGAGAAAAAAAACTCTTAGAAAATAGATTTTGTTGAAATGAGCGGAAAATAATCATTTACATGAATGCGGTGCTAAATGTTTATTATTTGATGACACATATATACTCCGTTACCAAAATACTTTTTAAAAGCCAGATCTCTCAGATTTTCAATACTGTAGCTAAAGACTAGAGCAGTTGTACTAGCAAATACTATCAAAGAAGTATCATCAACTCGAAAGACTACTCGCAAAGTAGAGCTATAAATAAATTGTGTTCGGCCAAAGAGAAGACGTAATCAGGACTGCATTCCGATGAAAGCATTACCGGAAGACTACTCATATTCCACTATCTAAAAATAAAGTACCAAGGAAAATTCAATGGTTTAACGAATTTTTTAGACGAACACGTGATATGAAATCTTATTCAAAAAAACTACTCCTGAATTGTCCGCATGCATATACCCAATCTGAAGCAACGTAATTAACATTTAAACATACGTTTACGATAAAAAGATCGGTCATATTAATATTACATCTATTTTTATCTCATTTTAATGCCACAGTTTGAATCTCGTATGTTATTTCTGTGACATCGTTTCCTTCCCTTGTTCCAGAATTTTTATTTTACGTGTCTTACGAGACATTTGACACTCACTAAAATTACCCCACGAGGATAGGATGTTACCAAGCAGTTGGTTTCAAAAATAGAACAGAACATTCGTACAACCGTACGAGGAAAAAAAGAAACGAAACACGATGGATTTATTATTTTTGTTAATAGGAGGAAACTGTAGATAAACATTGTCGTAAATTTAGTGTAAAACAATTTGCCCTTTCTAAAAATAGACAACAGCTGCTAGTTGTGATATAAAAATCTAGTTTTTTCTAGTTCTTAAAAAGGTTCTAGCAGCAATATGTTTCCAAGTGAAAATAGACCCAGCATCATTAAAAGTTCATCAGTATTACAGAATTTGTAGTAATAAATTCATCACATAGAGATAGGAGAACCGTTTGGGTTGCCATTTCTAAAGCCACGTCGTTTAAAAAGTCAGCTAAGTTCTGACATACGTATATCATTAAAAAAAGTTTCTAACTAAATTATGTCCCTAAATATTTTTGTATATTTTGTATCATTTATACCCTAGAAAATATAATACCATATTTATAATAATATAATAATATAATAGCAGATTTATACCATAACACTTTCTTGCTATTATGTCATACAATGATTGAAAGATAAAGAAATTGAGATCTTCAGATAACGCCAACTGTAATCAGTAGCTATGTACGAAACAGGAAACCTACATATAGCACGAAAGGCATAGATTCTGATTAGAAGCGCTTATCCGCTGGACACAATTGCAAATTTTCGTGAATTTTTATAATTCAAATGCTTATCGTAGGCTTATAATATTTTAGTAAAGTGGTCAAAATAATTTTTTAAACTTTTCTACTTATTACAAAGAAATGGCTTAGCAGATCGTCACACCAAATTGACAAACCCAAGTCCTGGTCGAGTTACGTCGAGCTGCTTTTAAATTTTTAAAATCGGTTCAGCAAGTTTGAGAAAACGTCCAAGGAAGGTCAAAAATTCGCTCACGTACACACCTACTTATTTCAAAACGCCGAGAAAACATGATAGTCTCCTTCTCCTTTGGGAAGTTAATATATTTATAAAGCTGAGTACACCAATAATTTTATTCCACACAACACTTCGTAAATGTTTTCTATAAATATCAAAGATAAATCAAATCTCGAGATTTAATCAAAGAAAAAACACCTTTAGCGAATTAAAATAAAAGTATTAATCAAGCTGGTGTCATTCATAGCGTCAAGGTTTCCGCGTTTTATACAGCATTTTATAACAATGGTTCATTGGATTAACGTGACTAACAATTTTATTTTTAGAATTAGGTTTTATGTGCGATACATTAACTTATTGTAAAGTTTCAAAATTATAGTTTAGCATAATTCTTAGTCTAGTTTAGTTTTAGTCAATTTTCAATGTTATGTTTGATATGGAAATTATTCCTGAACTTGATTTTAGAAAATGCATGATATTTGATATATAGCAAGAATGAGAGATAGATTTAAGTAACTAGATTTCCGCTCAGACAATTATACATAGTTTGTATATGTAAATAATAAATGCCGCTATTAATGCAACACGATACATTATTTTTACAGCAATAGTTTATATGTTTTTCCCCGTAAATGTTAGCTATGTTACTAACCTTATTTCCATTTATTTTTCAGCACAACACAACAAACTTCCACTGACCAAAGGCTGTCCAGCTCAAACTTGGGCGCACCAGGCAGACAAGTCAGCACGTGGTTGGACGACCTCAATTCACCATTGATCCGTGAGGACGCCGATGGCAAAGTTCTGAAATTGAGGTTTGATGTTAGTCAATATGCACCAGAAGAAATTGTTGTCAAGACAGTCGACAATAAACTATTGGTAAGATATCAATTGCCTCTTGCATTATATAAAGTGATGCAAGGCCTTATTCTTTAAATTAAAAATATGATAATCAATACTTTTCCGTGCTTTAGCATATATTTTGTCTTCGAAATAGTTGCGCAATGATAATTTGCATCTTAATTTTTATTTCAAAATTTAAAACTTGGTCAGCCACTATAACAAATATTAAAAGTTTACTGTTTTTGGCATCATAGCAAACATATGCATTTAATTCATATTTTTTCAAATATTATGTCCATTGATGATATTATCTTACTGTCCATTATTAACATCATCGAAAAGTTTATATATATTTAAATATAATATATGTAGATAGTAAAAAGATATTTTTAATTTTAATTCATTTGCAGGTCCATGCCAAACACGAAGAAAAATCTGACACCAAGAGCGTATACCGCGAGTACAACCGTGAATTCTTATTACCAAAAGGCACTAACCCCGAAGCCATCAAGAGCTCCCTCAGCAAAGACGGAGTCCTTACTGTTGACACACCTTTACCAGCCTTAGCTGCAGGAGAAAAGATGATCCCCATAGCTCACCATTAAATTTTTAATTTAACATTTGTGTATTAATGCGTTGTTCAAAATTTGACAATTTGTAAATCATCTCATGTTTTTTTATTAAATTCAATAAGTTGTGTAGAACTGGCCTAATGATGAAAGCATAATGTCTAATAGATTCAAAAACCAAGGAAATTTGTTTATGATAAATATTTCAAAATATATTTTTTGTACCGTGTGAATACCAGTTTTTTTACAATGATATGAATTGTCAGAATTTGAAGGCCGTGTCTTAATTTATTTTACATATGACATCTAAATTATTTATATTTTAATATTTTTGCACAAAAGTCTAAACAAAATACATTTAATTTATTTAATTAAGATATTTGGATAATTGATATTTATAATCATCTACAAAACATTTACATGATATTATTGTATTAAATATATTATTTTCAAAAAGTATTTATTGTTCGAATTAAAAAATATAGTATTAATTTTTAAATGATCATTGTATTTTATTTAACTTTCATAGAACTCGATCAGTGTTATGTTTGTGTGGATAATATATATAATAAATTATTAATATATTAGATATGGGCTTTTATTGCTTTTGTTATGAATATACATTTTTTACAATTTAAGGTATATAGTTTTAAACGCTGTTCTCTAATACTTGATAGAGATATGATTTAAACAATCTGATCCTAATTTTACATTACGTAACAAATACATATTTGTGCTGTCATTTTATATTAATTGTGTCATGAAACATTTCAAAAAATGTTCTAAATGCCATCTAATTAATGATCATAATGAATTAATGAAGCACAATTTTTATTTCTTTTTTCCATTTCTAATGAAGTAACTTTTTTGCAATAATATTTATATAATATTGCAATAATATTTTTCTTGTGCAATTTTAATTTACCATGGTATATTGCTCTAAAAATTATTTCATCGCTTGAGTTTGACTCATTGATCTTAGGATATTATTACTAAAACATGATTTTTGCAATCTAGGTAACAGCAAAGAGAATTGCACCTAAAGCTATTTAGAAAAAAAAAGTCCTTAACATTTAGATAAAATAAAATAAAAAGGGCTTACTTTGTAACCAATAAACATTTTCTTCAAATTTCTGAAGCTGTTTCGGATCTCTTAATACACTCGCTTAATTGTCTACAAGACTCCATAAGCTTTTCTTCCAAATTTATCGGTGTTGAAATACTACAATTTGTTTCAGAAATACAATCATCTTTAGATGAATGATAAAACATTGTTGCAACTTTATCAAAACTTTTCAAAAGATCTGTTACTTCTTTTAAAAGATCACAAATGATATTTTGAGTCCTTGTGTCAAATTCATAATTGACATCATAATATACTGGATAAATTTGTTTTCGGTAGTATTTTGGCTGTATAAGTTTTCTCACAATTGGTGGCATCTAAAAATTATAACATAATATTAGTATGAAGTAATAAAACTGGGTAATAATAAACTTGAGCATAAATATGAATATAATAATCATAATATGAATATGAATATAGTAATCATAAGCAATAAGAAATTAAATGATTTATATATGATTTTTTATCCCTGCTATAACTTCAATAAACATTAAAGAACATTTATGAATATAATATAGTTTATATAATAAAAGAAAAAGTACTTCAAATGTTCATTCAGTCCAACAAATCACTTGATAGATAATTAAGTATTAAAATCTGAATGAATTCCACGGTATTGAGTAACATATTAGACATTCTATTCTATTCGAAAACGATTGTTGGACAATAAAAGACCAAAATAAATTCTCTTTGTTTATATTCATTATTATTGTTTATAAACTATGCTAAAGGCTAATATCAATGTCAAGGAACTAATTAACATCGTAAGTATAAATCTAGATTGAAGTAGAGTTATACTGGAATTCATCATTGCAGTCAAGGAAGAGGACAAGAGACAGTTCATTAAAAACTATAAATATTTGATTTATCGTGGCAATTTGTTACAGCTTAATATATGCAAAAGAAATGTTGTTATCATGCAATAATAAAAGTTTAATTACCCCATAAGTCTGAACGCAAACATCCTTCACTCTTCTACAGGGTTCAGGTTCTGTTTGTGTGCTGAGGGAATTGGTTTTTCCTTTTTTTGATGCCTGTATTATAATTTTGAAAATATATTAGCTATTTTATAGATGTATATATGATTGCTCATTATCATTTTAAACCAAATTAATCACTTGTCAATTGGGTAGTATAAAAGCAGAAATGCCTGCTCAAGATCATTTTTAATAATGACAATATTGCACAAGCACCTAAACTAGACATGAGCTCTGTTCTATGAATTGGTCATAACTAAGCTAAAAATTTCTACTTATGTAGTTCATTGCCATTGCAATTAACTTTGTATCATTATGAAAATTTGACAAAACTTGATCATGTTTTACAGTCGACTGTAACATAGTATATTATGGTAGTTAAAAAGAGCCTAAAACTATATATTCTCTTAATTAACTGAATAGTTCCATCAACCATTACCTTCAAAACTTTTCTTGTCGCTTCCAGCAGTTTTGGGGTTGGAGTAGTGTTTTTCCATGGAGGCCTGGGCTTATCAGAAGTCAAATTTGATCCAGATTGTGTCGGCCTTCTACTTGTAGTCCTGCTAGATGCTTCACTTTCTGGGGATGCCAGACCTGTGTCTTGATTATATTGACCGGTATCACCACTCATTTTTTATAAACCATAAATTTATTTTGTCAAGAAGTAAGAGTTAATTTTGTGAACCAATGCAGGTGGATTCCACACGCGTAAGCGTAACCTAATGAGGTGTTAAATCGATTTCTAAAGCGTGAAATATATATAATTCGTTTGCGACATTACATCCTGACACCGAATGATGTATATAACTTGATTCACTGATTCACCCTTGAGGACACGATTTTAAAATTCAACTTCTGCATGAGTAAAATTTGAACTGAACAAAGTTATAAACAACATATCTGTACATTCCTACCAACATAAAATAAAAAGTATTTGAAGAAAGTTTATTTGAAAACTTCAATATTAGAGATTATAGATAATTAATTACTTTTACGTTATTTATATTTTAAATCTACAGCAAAATAATTTATATTAAATTAGTTATTTATTACATCAAATCACCAACAAAACATTATGTGAGCCACTACTCACATTTATTACTATTATTATATTGTCTAGGCCACTACTACCCAGTACCCACCCACCCACATAGTGCCCAGAGTAGCAACTTATAATTCATAACTGTAGTTGAAATAAAGTTATAATCCTCTTAATTATTACTATTATATTAAATATTTTTTACTTTGCATGTTAAGCATTATGTAAATATTTTTGTTTCAATTTTAGTTAATTAAAAATGGTGTACTTATATGAATAAGGTATATTTATACTTATTCATGTATGGTTATATCACAGAAATATTCATATATTTCTAATAATTTTTATGAAACAGTTAAAATTTATTGAAAGAATATTGTTTGTATTAAATTATGTATTATACAATATACATTATTATTGTATTAATATAATCTTTGTGGTGGTCCCATAGTAGACTTAACATGTAGAGACCTAACATTCTGCCAATGCTTCTTCAAAAGTGACACCAAGAAGTTAATTGACAAGTGAACGTTTTGGACCAACTCGTCAGGAGACATATCAACATGACCAACAGCTACAGATAAACACAACACCTGAAAAAAGAAAATAAAATTTATAAGTATTTTAATTTATTCGACTTATTTATAATGAAATGATATAAATAATTGTATTAAATTAATATTGTGTATGAGAGTTTTACAACCACAGCACCAACATGAATGAAGTGGGAGTTATACAATCAGTTTCTATAGCAAAAATCTTCCGTGCTGAAGAAACAAAATAAAGTTACACAGCTGGCTTGATTTTGCAAAAATTGAGAATGTTTTTAGTATTACCTTCTTCATCTGGAATTTGATAGTTCCTTTAACTTCATCAATCTTCTGCACCATGGATTCCTGATGAGACAAGAGACCAGGGAATTTACCTGCCTTGTTCAAACCTGGACCCAACAAACGGGGGATCTAAAAATACAGTAATAATGTAAAACTCCATAAACCTTTATCATATAAACTAATTTATTTAAATTAGTATGAATTGTGCACATATACTTTGACCTTTACATAAAATATATAAAAGTATAAAAGCATTAGAGCGATTTAGTTTTGCATTTGTCTTCCGTGCTGCAATAACATATAAAGCTATTAAGCTGGCTTGAAAATGCATTCTAAGTACTGAGAAAAAAGTATAACAATTTTCAAGCAAATAAACTTAGTATAGCTATTAAAATTGAATTAAATGTAATAGAAAATCCAATCCAATTTACCTGCTTGATTAAAGATTCAGAAGCTAAGAAAGCATCATATTTTTTAGCTAGTTTCTTCACAAGCTTTTTGTTCTTGTTAAGTTTTTTCAGAGCTTCGGCATCCATCCATGGGACATTGTTGGCCTTAGCTTCATCACAATGCTGTTGATCTCCCAAAATACATACTTGCATTTTTGGTCGTGGAATGTGCTTCAATCTAACAAACAAAGGAAAGTTAAATTGATAGTTCATATTTATATCGGTGAAACTTAATTCCCGCCAGGTTCAAAAGGCATTTGCCTCATTGCTTTACTTTCTAAATTATGACTGTTACTTGGCTTACCTACTACTAAGTAGTTCATGGCAGCAAGTAGTCGACTTTGAATAGAAAGCTAAAAGGTTCGGCAAATGCCTCCCCAATTTATTTAAGACCCTGGGTGCAGGTCCGCCAAAGATAACTTTGGCTTCCTGATTTATCAGAATAAAACTTGAGGTTACCAGTATAACTTGACTTTAAAAACCTCAAATTAAATTCATGTCAGGTAAACATACTTTACGGTGCCGCTGAAACGCTTGTCCTTCTGGGGATCGTAGTTCTTCAAACCGATTTGGATTTCAACAGTTTCCAAGAACTTCTTTTTCTTTTCCTTTGAATAATCCAATACAGCATTGACACACTCGTATAGAGTGTCACGGGAAACCTTCGACCTAAGAACATATTTTGAGGTTAAGAGAAATAAAATATTTTAGCAATATAAATTACAAAGTTTATGATTAAAAATAATATATTCGTTTGTTGGAATATTGCACTAAAACAATCAAGAAGACAGAACACAAAATAACAGATCCGTAAAACCACGTGTGCTAAAAATTACTATTTCGAACTATATTTCATATATATGTAGGAAAGTCGATTCTTGTTCCTGATATTAATAATAATAAATTAGAACTTACGTCATGGCGAAGAATTGTAATTCTTCTTATATCAACCACAATTTGGCGATTGTACAGCCAATGCACGCACTCTGCAACGGAGGAGAGGATAAAATGGACGATTAACTAGAACGTCGACGTGAATGTCGTAGAGGAATTTACATTTCTACCAACACAAGAATAATATCCTTAAGAAATACGATCGCATGGCCGCATGGCAATACTAATAAACTTGACGCTGGCGTTTTTCGGCACGTGCAAATGTTTATAAACTTCAACGTTTTGATAAGCGGTCAAGTAAACCGTACTTTTATATATAAATAATCTATTTAGAAAACGTAACAATATGATTGCCGCAGCTGGTATGAGTGATGATGAAGAAAGCGATGAAGGTTTCAGCTTTGGATCCTCATTGGTAACGGATAATTTAAAAAATAATTAATTTAAAATATATTACTTTATTATGGCCGGCCCCATAGATAAACAAGTATAAATGGCCGGCCCATTGTTTTGTATAATAGATAAAATATTTTCAACTTGTCTATGATAGTCCAAAACTTCTTTGAATAGAGAAAGCTCTATTATATAAAGCTAAAAACAATATAATTCAATAACTGACATAACACTGACAAATATATATTAAATAATTTTCTAATATATATATATATATATATATATTTATATGTTGGAGTATGTAAATTTGGTGTTATATATTAAAACGAGTGTGTTGAGTCAGGCAATATCACCAAATAAAAAAAAACTAAAGCAATTAGGGAATCAGCTTTATTAATCCATACGTTTCAGTCTTCATCGAGACCGTCATTCAGTGGAAAACTAAAAAGATAAGAACTTACATACAAAAACAATTTAACACTACACTACACTAATTAACACAATTGTAACACCAAGCTATCAGTACTTAGTTGAAAAACTAAATTTTTGTACATAGTTGTTGAAGTCTAAGCGCTGAATGAATTGTGTTTACAAAGATTTTTTAAAAAATGTTTGGAAAAGTAGTAGAAAAGGGACATGCTTTATTCAGTAATAATATTGTTTGAAAAACGGTCGAGGAATATCTTGTAGTCATTACAGATCCAATAGCTGTCAAGTCTCTTGTTGATTGCTTTATTGTTTAACAATATAAGACAACATTCACTAAATTTGCTTTTAAATATATTGGTTTCAAAATGTAATATACTCGATTTTTGGAAAGCATTGTTATGCTGAAGGTTATTTAATATTATTAATTTAATATATATATATATATATATATATATATATACATATATATTAAATAGCTTCGATTTCTACTAAAAGTTGCCAATGCTTCAATACTTTTATTTTTATGGTAGCCAAGGCAACATTCATATTATGAACCACCTCCGGTGGATCCTCACACGACGCTAATTAATGAATTATATGCTGCTGTTAAAGATGGTGATTTGTGTGCTATTCAGAAGTCTTTAAATAATGGTAAATTTTTCATCAACATTTAAAAACAAATTACTGAGATATTGATCATATTTTTTATTCCAGATTTAGGTGTCACATTGGAGACTCCCCTACAGGGAAACTGGACAGCAATGATGCATGCCTGTAGTGATGTTAATATTCCCGTTGTCAAATTTCTGATTCAGAAAGGAGTTTCTGTTAATTCTCATATTGGTATACTATAATGCTTTCAAAAATCATTTTAGAATATAGATAAGTCTTAGAATGTAAGTTGTTGGTACTTTTGTTTCTCTTGTTATTCATGTTTTGTTCTTAGCTTTTGAAACCAATTGTGTTCTGTACAATGTCGTCCAGCTTGAGCATATGTATCAAAAACTAGCAATGAAAATTTTGTGAAGAAAAGTTTATTTTAGCGGAAAAAAAAATTTCTTGATATTGTTTTTTTTTTTAACTTTTTATGTAATTCCGAAACATTTAACTCAAGAATTGAAAGAAGTATGTATATGTGTGTGTCCTGGTTTTGTCTTGAAGATGAGTGTATATTTTAAAAATGAAATTTCAATTTAATACGGGACTTCCATTCTAGAAAATTTTATTAGTTTTGAGACTGATTTATTATCCTCATTACTTATTTTACCAGCTTTGAGACTAATATTGCCAAAATATGTGATTTTAATTGTAAAATTTCAATGGATGAAAATTTAATTTCTTCACATTTAAAATTTAACCTCGTAAAGTTTTAAATTTTTAGCTTTCTTACAAAATTATAAATTATTTCAAACATATAAATTGGGAATAGAAATAATCAGAACATACAGAATTTTTTTCTCAATAATTATTGTTTTTCTACATAAATTTTATATATAGTTTTTTATATATTATTGTTTGTTACAGTAATGCTCTAAATATAATTATCTTTCAGCATTATTCACTCCATTAATGGCAGCCTGCTCAACAACAAATAATACTGAAGAGAATGTTTTAGCTTTGGTTAAATTATTAATAGAAAATGGAGCTAATATTAATTTTACTGATGCACATGGAGTTACGGCCTTAATGTTAGCAAGCCAAGTGGGTTATGTTTCTGTGGTTGAGGAATTACTTACACATAAAATAAAAGTTAATCAAGCAGATAATCAAGGACATAATGTAAGATGATTTTTCTTATATTTTCATATTTTAGAAAAACTTGTTAAATTATACTGTATATTATTTCTTGATTGCGGTTTGTTGATAAAAAAATTATCCTTTGCGTTTTTTTAGATTCACTTATTTTTTCTTGTTTTCAAATAAAAGATCCTGCAAAAAACTACATTTTGAATTGAAGTTTTTATAAATTTAATTAAAAGTAAAGTTATAGTCTGTGATAATTAAAATTAATTTTATATCTTGAGATTAATTTGTTACAGTAATATTATGTTGCTAATTTCAGAATTTTATATTATATTTAAAGACAATATCATATTTTTTTTAATCATGTAAGTTCCTTGTTTTTATTTATTTACCCCTTTGTTTTATTTTGATATATGAGCCCTTTATTTTATGAATGATAAAAGATATTCACAAAAACTTATTTTATGTTTTACAAAATTTGTTTCAAAATCTGTTTTGGTTGGACATTCGTATACGTAAAAACAATTCACCAGCTAAAAAAGATCTGCTTGCTACACAGGCTTTATTCTGGGCTATTAACGAAAACCACTACCAAGTTTGTTCTTTGCTTATTGAAAAAAATTGTGATGTCAATGCTGAGGACATTAGAGGTACTACATGTTATCAACTAGCATCTTCGAAAGGTCTTGTAGAGATCATGGATCTACTAGATAGTTGTGCTGGAGGTAGAAAACCAAATCCATACTGGGTAGAAGCTAGAAATTTGATTGAAAATGTAGGATGGAAGAATTTGGTACCAGGCGTTAAATGGTGTGGAGCAGAAGAGTTAGTAATCATTTATTTGTATTAATAATATAAAATGCAATTATATGAGACGTTTTACTTTAATATGTTAGACAACTTCTAATCTCATTGAACAATTAGAATTTGATACTTCTTGTATATAATGCAATATTGAAAAATTACAGAAGAATATAGTCTATTTGATTTTGTAGGCCACCTTATTATGCTGATTTGGATGCAATCCTTACTGGCATGGAGTTGGAACATCATGTGCCAGACATAATTCACAAAAGAATTTCTTTATCAGAATTTCTTCTACTTAATGAGCAAAAGTTAAAAGAATTAAAATTCTTACTACCTTATGAAAGAAGGGTATGGTCTATATTATTATTATGGGAAATGAATTTTGTAATAAATAAAAGTTTTCAATATTTAATTTAGATTATAATGCAGAATTTGAAATTATTTCATATAAAACCTTGGCTCAAAAATTCCATAATGAGACCTATTCCAGGCGAGGATTTTGAGTAAGTCTATTTCAAGTAATAAATGTATTGAATTATTAAATAACAATGTGATTTCTGTTGCAGTATTTTCAATTTCTTGATCCAAATAACAGCTCACTATAAACATATTGCACTCATTAATGTATCACTTAAAGCATTAAATGAAAATAGTAAATTTGAGAAAGGAACATATGAAAGTAATAAATTGCAAGTGGCTAAAGCAATTGAAAAATGTCAAGCAAGTCTAATGGATTTGAAGAGACAATTAAAAATTGTTCAGGATGTATTAAGTAAGGTAATATATTAAGTCATTCATTATAATATTTATAGTGAACTTTTTTTTTTTGAATTTTGTTAACAATATAAAATAATTATATTGTTATCAAATATAAGTTTTTTTTTCATTTATGAATGGTGTTTTTGAATAGTTGAATAATAGGCTTGCAACGAATACTATAATCGGCAAAATACCAAATACTAAATATTCGACAGGTTTATTTTGATCACTATCCGCGGTTGTTCTATTACTAACGCACTACATGCTTATTAAAGTTTTATGTCTTGGCTTGCAAATCTTTGTTACTTTTTGCTGTTTGGGATATTAGGCACCATTTACACTATTCGACCAAATACTGAATACTTCCATTGTATATTTTGGTGTAATTAAATGAAGAAATATAATATTAAATAATGTATTGGTATATAATTTTTACTGTTTTGAAATTACACTGAAGATAAGGCATACCATGGTCTCGAAACTTCTGTAATTATTAAATAAAGTGTGTTATATTGTTCTAAAATCTAAGCAGTACTTTCGCTGAGCGGCGCCTTTCGTTTTAACTATTTGATATACGGCCAAATATCAAAAAAGGTGCCGAATATGCCGAACACCGGATAGTAACCGAAAATCCAGCCTGTGAAACTTGTTTCATTTCAAGATGCTATAAAACTTATATTAAATACACTTGTTTCAATGAAACTTTTAATACCGTGAATATTCATCATTTACAAATAATAGAATATGAATCCCTGTTAAAGCATGAGAATTTTACAATTAAAATATTTGTAAGCCTCTGTGTATTTTTTTTCTTTCAGGTAACAGCAGCAACAGAAGAACCTGTTTTGTTTATAAGTAGCGATACAAAAGTACATAAACCAAAACGAAATTGGTTCAAATATACGATTTATACATTTTTGCCTTTAGTTGCAGTATATTCTATTAAGAAGGTAATTAAAAAACTGTGATTGATAATATGCATTACTAATGTAAAAACATATTATGAGATAAGAAAATATGTTTAGAAATAAAATTATTACTTTTTAAATAAATATTATTATAATCAATACATCAGAATTTTAATTATTAAATATAATAAGTTTATAAATATATACATATGCCGGATATTATAAATTTACCCTACGATGATTCAAAATATCACATTTAGAGTTATTGTTTATTTTACTTTTGAAATACATACACATACACACATTAAACATCTAATTATTTTTTTTAGCTTTATTTATGAATATTTATATTTTTCACATTGGTTTTCCAAAGCTTTCTATGAAATTTCTGGTGTATCCTTGGTTTTCTCTAGTAATACCATTTCTATTGTACCATTGCATGTGATTTAATAGATGTAAGTAATAATAAGTTTGGTAAAAAGAAGAAATTTATTCGATTTTCGAAAAATTATTTAATTACTCATTTTTACAATCTAAGCAAAGTGTAAACATGAGATGTGTTCTTTTCAGAAATGTTAGTATTGAAAGTAGAAAGTAGAAATGGTAGTATTACTTAAGTATTGAAATTAACACTTAATTAAATTGAAATTAAAGCCTCTTATTTTATATATATATATATATATATATATATATTTCTAGTTTCTTTGTTTGATGTATCGCCCTCAAGAACTCACTCATATATATATATATATATATATATATATATATATATATATATATATATATATATATATATATATATACTGTAGAGCCTCGATTAACCGGACTAATTGTTGTCAATAGGCATTTGGATAATCAAAAATCTGGATAATCAAATGTATGAAAAATAATGCTGTGTATTCATTAAATATTGCAAATACATACAAAGATATCAACAAAAATGTTTTTCAAGAAGTTAAAACTTCCTTAAAATCGCGGGCGGGATAAATGAGGTACTACTGTATATATGTCTCAAAGTCAAACAAAAAAGTCTAAATCTTATATATATATATATATATATATATATATATATATATATATATATATGGTTCTTTTTTAAAGTTTATATATGTTTAGCTAACTTCCAATGATAAGTTCTATTAGAATGCCGAATTAGTTTGATTAAAAAAATATATACATGGTTTTACTATTAAAATATGTGATGATTCATACACCAAAGTAAAGCAAATAAAATTATGTATTTTGATCAAAATTAATTATATTTTGGTTAGTTATTCTGTTCGCATATCACACTCAAAAAGTTTAACTTTGGCGCCATTAACATTTATTTATCGTAAATCTGATTACCTTCGCTTATGGTGGCAACCATGTACGTCAATCACAAAAAGTTGCGAAATGGTTTCGTGAACTATAAAGTAGTGCTAACTTCGAATATTTGATTTAATCTGATTTTTTTAAAAGCGCGGTAAAATGTTGACCAATTATAATCATATTAGTGTAATTAATCATAATTATCATTCAGTAATTGATTAGTGAGATGTTAGACATGGAGATTAAAGTTTTAGGTTAACATTGACAATGGGGGCAACACTGGGAACTAATTTAAAGTTATAATTCATGTAACTAGTCCCTCCTTGAGTGTGGAAATTTAATAATAATAATAAACCTCTAGAAATGGCTGTGCAATTAGACTCTAATGGGAAAGATGATTTAAAAACACAATTTGCAACACGCGAAGGAACATATCGTGTTATGACTTCTGCAGAATATTCCAGGCCAAATCGTGTCGGTTATAGTAATAATCAAGGATCATCTCAAGTTAAAGTTTCTTTAGTGTCATTACCACAGGAGCCCACTGGCAGTGATACGATAAATGGCGGTGACAGAATTTGTTTTAATTTTGGTAAAGAATTGTATGTCTACCCCTACAAAGGTGTCAAAAAGGTACGTCAAAACATTAACAACTAAATAACATTTGTCATAAATTAATTTAATATTCAAGACAGAATTCGTTTCAAATTCGATTTTTATGATGCAAACATTTTAGTTCACAAAATAAATTAAGATATATTGTTTCTAATATATTTGTATTGAAGTCATAACTTCTAAAGTGTTATTTTTAGTACAGAAATTTGGGTAATATATTAATTTATTAATAATTTTATATAATATATTTGATAAATAAAATATCTAGTATAAGTAGAGTACATGTTTAGGCTGATAAAAGGCTAATTAAAATGAGAAAGTAATGTAGAAAAATATTGAATGTTTGTTTGAATTGTTGTTTGTTTACTATTTGCTTTATTTACTTTTATATAAAAATAAGTGTTAAAAATATTATACATTAATGCATAAATGGACCTTTAGAATATTTAATTATTTTTAATTTTAATTTCTTGAAATTAATTAGTGTATTAAAATTAAAATATAATTTTAATTTTAATTTCAGGCATCAGATTTACACAAACCTGTAGATAAAAAATTATATAAAGGAACAAGTCCAAGCTGTCATGATTTCAATACTGCTGTCGCTGCACCTGAAGGTGCTCCACTTTTAGTAGGTTTTAGTACTGGGCAAATTCAACTTGTTCAACCTGGACGAAGAGAACCAGGCAGATTATATAATGAAGAGGTCAGTAAAATACAATATTCAGTAATAATCGATGAGCGTGTTTACTACACACATTTGATAATTTTTGTAACTATGAGTGTTTTTTTTTCTTCATTTTTGGTCTAATTGTATTCTATAAAATGTGTTATATTTGAATCAATTTAAAATATTGAATTTAATTATAAATGAAGGATTATTTATATGATATAGCCAGAAAATAAAAAATTATTTGATAATAAATAATACTTTTTATATTAACAGATTTTTTTTTATTGCAGAGGTTAATTGATAAAACAAAAGTTACTTGTTTACGCTGGGTACCAGGATCTCCGAGTCTTTTTCTAGCAGCTCATGCGTCTGGTTATTTGTACCTTTATAATGAAGAATTATCATGTTCCCCATCTGCCCCCCATTATCAAACATTTAAAAGCGGAGAAGGCTATACTATACATACGTGCAAAACAAAATCCACAAGAAATCCAATCTATCGATGGACGATAGGAACTGAGCCATGTTGTGTGAATGAATTTTGCTTCTCTCCCTGTGGTACAAATTTAGCTGTAGTGTCTCAAGATGGTTTTCTACGTGTGTTCCATTATGATACTATGGAACTTATCGGGATAGCAAGATCTTATTTTGGCGGTTTTCTTTGTGTTTGTTGGTCACCTGATGGAAAATATATAGTTGTAGGTGGCGAAGATGATTTAGTAACAATTTGGTCAGTACAAGAACAAAGGGTTGTAGCAAGAGGCCAAGGCCACAGGTCGTGGGTTTCAGTGGTAGCTTTTGACCCTTACACCACATCATATTCACAATGGGATGGGCCTGATTTTTCTGATGATGAAGCACAGAATGAAAATAGTAACCATTACCAAGACGCCACTGGGCCGGAGGGATGTAATTCAAATCGGAGAAACTCTGGAAGCAGTGGGAGAAATTCATGTGCAAATAGCTTGAGCAATGATGCAAAACAAGCTACTTGTTATAGATTAGGATCTGTTAGTCAAGATACCCAGTTATGTTTGTGGGACATTACAGAAGATGTCTTACGACAACCCGTAGGAATAAGAAATCGTTTAAGTAGTAATGAAATGATGCATACAGGGAATGGTGATATGAATTGTGATGGTGATAATAAAAAAGTGACTCCTGGACCTTCTTCTAATAAAGACAGTTTAAATGCAGTTGGTAATTCACATATATCAAAACAAACAACAAACACTAGTCTAAAAACATTTGAAGTGTCTAGCAATAGTAAATCTAGTAGTAATGTAGTTAATAACAAAAATACTAAAAATGTGAATAATGTTTTAAACATAACAGTGGGAAACTTTAGTTTACCGTTAAGTAATGATGTGAGTAAATCTAACTCCACTCAGAAAACTGAAACTAGTGGTAATTCATCAGGGGCGTCAATGACTATGAACTCGTTAACTCAGCGATTGACAAACTTTAGTTTTGGTGATAGGAAAAGTAACAATGAAAATAATTCTGGAGTGCATAAAAGAAATTTTAGTTTATCTTCTAAGATCATACAAAATAATGTTGGTTCAAATTCTTCAGAACCTCATAGATATTATAATGTTTTAGGCAATAATAGTGCTAGTGCTTTAAGTTCGACACGATATAACAAATCAAGTTTAGGACCTAATGATCCCATGCGTTTGATAGGTACAGCCGCATGTCCTAGGTTTGATGAATGCCCTGTTTTGGAGCCTCTAATTTGTAAAAAAATTTCTCATGAAAGATTGACCGCACTAATCTTCAGAGAAGATTGTTTTCTTACTGCTTGCCAAGATGGTTATGTATATACTTGGGCACGACCTGGTTACACGGTTAGTATAACATAAATTAACATTTGTAGAATCTAACATTTTGATATATTTATAAGTCAAAGTAGTATTGTTGCAATAGGCTCTAGTATAATAATTCACATAAGTTATAAATCATTATCATATTTTTCAAATCAAATAACAAGCATATCTTTGTGAACTGTGTAAATATTAAAAATATATATTTCACATAACAATCATTGTTCAAAACATTTTATGATTGTTGTATTTTTGCCATATTTTTTAGTTACTTTTTGTGGCAACCCGACATACGATTTCAATTATTTCCGTAACATCGCTCGTAAGTCGAATCGCTCGTATCTCATTAATCCGTTTCAGCACTGGATTTTATAGGTTTTTGAATATTAAAAATAAATTTACTATTTATTAATTTGATTATTGTTTTGCTATTCATTCATGATTGTTGAATAACTCCCATGCTTGAATTTTTATCCACAAACTTTTGGAGCTCAGAAAGTGCCTACATTAAATTAAGAAAAAAGCTTCTTATAAATTATTATAAGGCCTTTCATTGTAGTTGTATTCTTTATTAAATGTACTTATTTATAATTTGCTATGCTCGTACATCCTCACAATCCTCATATTTTTCAAAAATTTTACGCTTAAATTCAAGAGACATGAGTCTTTTCTTTAGATCCATATTTATAAAAGTACATTATATTTTGTAAGTGTACAAAAAGCAAAAATCGTGAACTCAACGTATATAAATGTATCATCACTATTAATGTATAATTGAAATTTTAAACGTTAAACTAATCTTAATAAAACAGCCAAAATATTTATGTGCGAGAAAAATCATTTAAAAGTGACTAAATTTTTCATATTTTCATTTGCTCATTAACATTTTTGTTACTCGGTCAAAACTCGTATCTCGAATTTTGTTTGTATGTCGTAGCAACGAATCGCTTCTTAGCGGCTCGTATTTCGAAACACTCGTATATCAGGTCACTCGTAAGTTGGGGTATTTTGAATGTGATGCTGTGCTATTTAAATTGTTTGAAATTTGTTTTTATAGTATAGATTTATCAAAGAAGAAATTTTGATTTGTATTTTAAAACTGTCTTTTAATTTTGCTGTATTATATATTTCCATAATTTAATATAATATTTATATTTATATGTTTCAGAATTTGCAAACACAAATGCACCCCAGTCCGACGACTACGCAGAGCGGTACAGTCGTTTAGTTAATTTGTAATAACAAATCTATTAAAATAAATATATTATTTATTTGAAACAATGTGTGAACAATATATTTACAGCTATATCTAATATAGTTTGTTTCACTATGAATTATACTACAATTAAGCATTTAGTGAAATATTTTCAAATTATTATGAAGTGAATAAATATAATATAAATCTGCTATGTTTAATAGTTGTTTTACTTCAGTTTAGTTTTGTTTTGTTAGTTTATACAAGCTTCAGTCCAATTGTTAAAACTACTAAAGCGTTTTGCCTTAAAACAATTGTTTTAACTTAAGTTACAAAAACTTTTCGATATGCATAAATAATCGACGTAAATAACACGAGTTGAGATTTAGCAACTTTTAAAATTTTGACAATACAATTTTGAAACTTTGTCGAGCCCTATATATCAAACTATGATGGATCTTTGCAATAAAACTACTTGTCCTAGGTTCACAATATTTTGAGACGTGTCTTAAGACCGCAAACTGTTATCGTAGAAAGTTTCATCAACATCGTCAAATAAAAATTTTAACAAGTAAACTTTTTGCTACGGGAGTGCTTTATGCTCATTTGTACTACTAAATAGTTTGCTCAACGATATATTTTAAGATATTTCTATCATAGTCAATAAAAATGTGTTAAAAAAATAAAAATTTCGCTTACTATGAATTAGAAATTACAATAAAAGATAAGAATTCTAAATATTTTAGCTCAGAGTGATAAATCTTGAAGCAAAGGTAAACACATCCGTATACACATGTAGCAAAAACGAGATCGATTCCAAATTGATATCTTTCAAACAGTTTTTGAATGTTTGAAATTGATTCAGGATTTTTGGCTAAAACTTGGACGAAAAGTTTTGCAGACTTCTGTAAATTTTAAAGAAAAGATTTTATAATTATAATCTAAAATCGCATAAAATGCATTGAGTTTGTATTTATTTAGAAGATCGAGGCGATTCGCGGGTTGCTAGAAATTTTTTTGCTCTTTTGGCATGATTTGCACAATAGAATAAATTGCATATGCGATGGGTTTTATATAAAATCTCCAAAATAAATAAGTAAAATGTAGATACATTAATGTATCTAATTTTTTGAATACTAAATCCACACTTATAAAAAGTATATGAAAAAATTAACATAAATGTTTATAAATTTTAATGATAAACTGTTAAAATAGTTAAAACAATAGGCGAGGAGCGCTAGAAAAAAATGGCATGCAGGTGCTGTGGATCCTAGGTCCGGCCCTGTATGCATATTATAATTTTTATATTTAGGAATTCTTAATTAGTCGGAAATGTTTGGAATAACATTTCTTATTGAAAATATAGAACAATATAGCCATGAATATATAATATTCTAATATTGTCTAGGACATGCATGGATTAATTAATTTTATTTGAATGTTAAGGCCATATTTAAATAACTTTATTCCAATATGGTGTTGCCCAGTGTGCCACAATGTTTCAATGACCTCTTTGACCCCTCTCATTAAAATTTTGATTTTGGGTAACCCTGCTGATTCAGTAACTAACTTCATAATTGTTTTTAAATTCGTGCGTCTTCGTGACATCTGAAAAATAATTAAACTAATTTTAATAAACTTATACATACAATATTAAGTATATAAATTCTGCAATGATTAAATTATTGATTTTATGTTTTCTTGTTTTGAATTTACTTTCAGAAGGTAAATTGAATTAAATTTTATATTGACTATGTTTGCTATATCTAACCTCAAAATATTTGGGCGTTAACATATACAATTTCTATTAAGGCTTAGCTATTTACTGTTATCGTTGCACAAGTGCTACGCCAGGATGTGGATCGCCATTTAATTGGCGAGGAATTGGTTACTTGGGTCAACAATGTCCTGAGGATAATGATATTTGCGTTAAACTTACTGAAAGAAAAGGAGGTATGATACTGATTATCTTTTTGTGAAAAATAATTATCAACCTGTTTTCGTTATTGAGAAATGACTTTAGTGCTTACGTGGTTCTTTGTTATTTATATTCTGCAAGAAAATGCTTCAAAATTCAAAAATATCAAACCACTGTAAGCAAGATATATTGAGACAAGTTTTTTTATAAAGTCGACTGTAGAATATGTTTTTTATAGTTTATATATATATATATATATATTTATATATATATATATATATCTCACTTAAGTCATGATTTTTGTGGGATTCATAAGAAACTGGCTTAGCGTGGTTTTACTGTATGTATATAGTTTCTCAAAAACACGACTGATGTGTAGGATATATAAATCAATGCAAAATTTGAATTTGCAAGAGATAGTAAAACTGACTAGACATTTCACATTTATAAATGGTCAATAAATTAATATTAAATAAATAAACTATCATGAATCAATCATTTTTATGAATGCAATTAAATAGAGCTGTAAATTAATATATGAAAGTATTACATATTATATAATACCTTAATATTAAATATTACTTATATATACATATATATATATATATATATATATATATATGTATGCATATATACATATATCGGTAAATAATGTATAAATATTTGAAGTGTATAATTAATACTAATATATAAATGATTATTCTATTTTAGCTACTGAGACTATTACCCGAGATTGTCTCAGTGCCTTAAAAGCATTCCGAACAGATATTCCAGCAGATAATTATGAAGGTTGTCGTCCTTCAGTTATTGATGAAAAATTAGCAAATTATGTCAACAATTCTATTAAGGAACTAGATATAAAAAGGTTAGTAGATTTCTAAAAAACAAAGTGTGTCATATTTTATATTCATAAATATTTATTATTTTTTATTTCTACTATATCACAGACTGGTTGTTTTACATGGTTTCAACTAGAAATTTGTGCCATGATCTAAATTTTTTTTATGAATATTTTTTGCATGCTTTTTTATTATAAATTAAATATTTTGATAATATTTCTTTATACTTCATCTATAGGTTGTTTAAAATTCTTTAATTTTACCTTCATGTAGTTTCTATGATAAATTTATTTTTAATGCGTTAATGTACTAATTTTTCTTCTCAGAAACTATTATGATTCTACAACGTGGTGCTTTTGTTTCCTGGATCATCGATGTAATAAATCATCTACACTTACGGTCTCTATTCTTCTATTATTTGTGATGTTCCTTGTAAACAAGTTTCTTAATTAGTTTTGATTATTTAATTACGTTTAATTATGAAATTTTAACGTTTTAATTATTTAATTTCGCACAAAAAAAATATTTTTCAGAGGTAACAATAACATTACTTTCGAAAAATGCTATTCTAATTGTGGAATTTATTTATCAACAGTAATGCAGAATCATATGACAATGATATCATTAATTCAATATTAGCTTTTAACTTTAAAAATAATATTGCAATCAGTTTAAGAAAAAGTTTATCAATCAGGCAGCTCATTGTAACTACAAGAATAAGAGAATATTATTTTATTTTTATTTTTTAATTTGCCTCTGATATTCAATACTTTTTTATAATGGTTATTTTAAATAACCATTATAATAAAGTATTGAATACGTTGATTGTGGCATTTTTTGTCATAAATAACTTATTTATGATAAAAAATGCCACAATCAACGTATTCGTCTATTAAATGTAGTATCATGTATATATATAAGCTAAAATAAGATGAAATTCCGTCCATAATGTTAATATATATATTTTATTCAGAAACTTTTATATCCTATAACTCTTTTTATACTATATTTATGTTATATTAATGCTAAATATTATATGTAAAAATATGTATATACATATATACAGCAAATTTATATAAAAAGTGATAAGTAACAAATATATAGTTAATAATAAATTCTAATATTGGAAATAATATTGAAGAAGGTGAGACTTAATATTACACACTATATCTTTCAAAATAGTTAGTTTATTTAATTAGAGTAAAGAATGTTTTGTACAATTACAATTACAATTCGCAATAGTAAAGTTTTGAAGAATTATATAAAAAATGGTTTTCTTAAAATATTCAACATAAAAATTCGTTTATATCTAGAGAAAAGTGTGACTAATAATGTTTTCATAGTAAATTTATAATTCCATCTTTTCCAAGTCATCTTTAATTTCAACGTCTAGATCTGTTTGAAGTTGGAAACCAAAATATATTACTCTTTTAAAAAAATTGGCGAGCAATCGTAATAGTTTCAAACATAATTATTCATTCACGTTTCACTGAAAATTGAAACTAAATTTAACATGTTTTTTTTTGGAAATCGATTTGAATAATTGAATGAAAACTGTTGGTCAAGCAGTCATAACGACGAGTTAAAAAAATTCCACTTTTGTGATCAACTCGATTATTTTTAGATAAAATTTTTTGGACAACTAGTTCATATATTTGTAATACAAGGTGCTTTAAATTAAGCTATCCTCAGGTGATAATTTTTTAAATCCAATTTTCTTATCCGATTCAAATGATTCAACCAACTTTTTACTTGTATCGAAGGCGTGAGATATTGATTACATTTATAAAATAAGGTGGTCTGAAAGATCATTACAAATTACACAGGTCAACGAAATAAAAAAAGTTGCCTGTATTGGGTGTGCGACATGTTTTGAAGATAACCCATATAAGTTCGCTTTGCAAGAGCGACGAGCAAGCTTAAGGCGGCACTGTATATGGAAATATTTATTAAATGAAATGAAATTAAATCAAAATTTATCTATATTTTGTATATAAGTATATACATTAGTCATAATTAAAAATTCGATACGACGAATAAAAACAATAATTGTATAAAAACAATTATATTAAACAACGTATAAAATATAAAAGATTTATATATTTTTTAATAATTTTATGTCGTCAATATAAAGTATTAACTTCCCGAAGGAGAAGTTTATGTTTTCATCAAAAAATCCGATTCGCTAATTTTATGTTTTCTCGACGTTTCAAGCCATTCTGAATCGAATGAGACCAAATTTGGAAAAAGTATGTGTGTGTGTGTGCGTGTGCACCAACAGATTTTTTGCCGTAAATCGCCGTTTTCTCAAAAACGGCTGGACCGATTTCAAAAATTTAAAAGCCATTCGATGTATCTCGATGAGGACTATTGTTTGTCAGTTTTGTGCGACGACAGACCAAACCGTTTCTTCGTAAATAGCAGAGAAGTGAAAAGTCTTTCGTCCATGTTTTAGCCCGCAGTTATGAATCGATTTTGAAAATTCAAAAATCGTTCGAAAGATATTGGTTGGGAATCGTGCTGATTAGTTTTTGGTAGAGATCGGCCGGGCCGTTTTCTTGTAATAAAGTTTTTTAAAAAAAAATTTCGACGATTTTTATGATTATTTTTTTGACGGTAGATACCATAGTCTTCTATATCATACTAAAATATTACGGCCCTACGATAACTGCCAAGCCGTTTCTTTGCAATTTGAAAAAAAGTGTTAAACTTTTCGTCCACATTTAAGCTCATCCTACCGAACCGATTTTAAAAAATCAAAAACTGTTCGAAAGATATTAGTTGGGAATAATACTGATTAGTTTTAGGTGAAAATCTACCGAGCCATTTTCTTGTAATTAATTGTTGAAAAAAAGTGTTAAATTTTCGTCCACATTTAAGCTCATCCTACCGAACCGATTTTAAAAAATCAAAAACTGTTCGAAAGATATTAGTTGGGAATGGTACTGATTAATTTTAGGTGAAAATCTACCGAGCCGTTTTCTTGTAATTAACTGTTGAAAAAAAAATTTAAGCCGATTTTCATGGAACTTTTTTTGGCGATATACATCATGGTCTTATAGAACTTACTGTAATATTACGGCCTTACGACAAGTAGTTTAATTTCAAAAATTCGTCAAACTTTGCTAAAATTATTATCGTTTTTTTTTTAAGTAGGATTGATGAAGTATATTATTTACACATTTTTTTTAATTAAGTCGATTATTTACACATATTGGTAAGTTCATGTAACTTGCCTCAAGGCTAAATACCAAACCAACTAGTTTGAATTTTAATTCATTTTGGATTTTGAATTTTTTACAACGTTAATATGATATTTCATACTTTTATGTTTACTTATCTATGATTTCATTCATCATTCGTAACGTTATTCTGTGCGCCATCTAGCTAATTTGTATGAATAGTGTGGTATGAGCGCAGAAAACGTTCGTAGTGTCTGTCTATTTAGGTTAGGAAGTTATCTCTATGCAACTGTCAAGAAGCTCAACGCTTTTCAACGATCTTTTCGTGTGCTCTTAATATTGTCATTAAAGTAATTTATTTGAATGTTTTGTGCCGAATGTCCACATTCGAATATGTGATTAGTTGTATTATGTGCACTGTATTTAGTCGAAAGTCCTGCCATGGCAAATATACCTGTACGCCTGTCTGAACTGAGAACCGATGAAGGCTCTTCCTCCCGGAATTCAAGGTATTTATAAATGTAAATTTCTGTATCTACATTGCCCTGATTTTATTTTTTGTGAACTAGGAGAAGTAAAATACCTGTCAATGATGGAAATAGAAAACGATCTATGTCCACTGAACCAAAATCGTGCACAAAAATCAAAGCAGTACCTGTGCTTCCAGTTCCACAGCAATCAGCATTTCCATTACGTAGGAGTCGTAGTGCTCTGAGCCTTTGCTCTACACCCTGTCGTACACCAGTACGTCATCCATCACAATCTAGGCCACCAAGTACAATTCGTCCAAATCAGGAAAAGGCATTGAAAATTAGTGAACAAACAACTGCTTTGCAAAAATACTTGGTTGACAATGAATTACCTATGCCAAATGGTGGATTAAGACAAATGACTATCTCTCATTTCGTTAATTATCTTCAGCATTTCACATCATTACTGACAGCAAATAGAATTAAAATCACACCGACCAATTATATTGATGAAATGATGAAAATGATGAAATTATTCAAATACAATGGTCAATTATCGAAATCTATTTTACTAGCACCTATGACCAGACATTCGTGGCCTCATGCTTTAGCACTGCTAACATGGTTTAGATTAATATGTGAAGAATTATTCGAAGCGAACACATGCTATTTACCAAATGATCAGCAAAATCAGCAAATGCTCTGCAAAATGGATTATATTTACAAAATGTATGAGCTCTTTAATGAGGGTAATGATTCCGAAGTTGAGATTTTAGTTGATAAATGTGTTACTGAACTTAGTTGTCCATCGTTACTCGAGAATTTAAATGATATGGAGGCACAATTGGTTCAAAAAAGAGCTCAAATTCACAACTTCAGAGCAATACTGGATGAAAAGCGGCAACAGTATGAAGATTTAAGAAAAGGAAGAGAATCCTTTATGCAGCAACATCAACATCTTATTGAATTAGAAGAGAAAAGGCAGATATTGTCTGATAAATTAGCAAAATTAAAATTACAGAAAGATAAGATTCTTGAAAAAAATAACACCTTGCTTGAAGAGAAAAAAACATTACAAGCACAAGTACGAGATCAACCAATGAACAAGCATCAAAAATCTATAATTAAATCTCAAGTAGTAGCAAACATAGAAAAACTAAATAATAATAAAGAACTTCGGCAAAAACATACTGAACACAATTATGAATATGATTTAAAATTATTACAATTGGATTCAGAGTTGAATAAAGTTTTGGTTACGTACAAATCTTTTATGTGCAAGTTATATGAGCATCTAACACTTCTTAATCTAGATTTTAATAAGGAATCTCTCCAAATAACACTTGAAGTTACTGATGATCTGACAAAACTTAAACAAACGTTATTAGAAAAAATTAGTATTTTGCAAACATGTTCTGAAGCACTACAAGAAGAATTATCAAAAAGTGATGACTCATACAAAGATCATTTGAACAAAAAGCAGCAAAGAAAAGACTTTATTGAAAATATGAAACAAGAAACCAGAACACTTTTGCTGGAAGATCAGTCAGTGATGCAAAACATAAATGCCTTAGAAGAAAATATTTCCGAAATATATCAACGGTTGGAATTAAAGCAAAAAGAACTGGAAAGTACTAGTAAAGAAGTTGAAAATAGATATTATAAATTAAATGCTCAGAAAATATTGCTAAATGAGCTTACAGTAAAAATGAATGAATCTAAAATGCAATTGATAGAATTAAAAGAAAATTGTATGAAAATAAGGAAAGAAAAACTCGACTTCGTCAAAAAGGAGAGGCAAAGAAATATGGATGCAATAACAGCACTGCATGAAGCAATTTCAGGCATGAATAATAAACTTATTTCGTTTTGGAAAAAATTTAGTGAAGATCAAAATAGTTCGTGAGTAAATTGTACATTATATTCTTCAAAAAATATATATTTTATTGTTGTATCAATTTTGTGAATATTTGATACTACTGCATTGCATATTGAGATTATTATATAAAATTTCTGTTGAGATATCAGAAATTAATTTATACTTATTTATAATTTTTTATAAACTACTGCTCATATTTATATTTAGATTTTTTAAAAATCTGATGTAAACATTTTAATATTAAATCTTTTTATTATATTTTTACATAAGTATTTAAATTTGCTGTAAAAAAATGAATTGTGATAATTAAAATTAATAAGTTCATAAGAACTAAAAACATCTGTTATAAATATAATGTTTACTGATAATTTATAATTAATGATTTTAATAAAATTTATCCAAGTACTATTAAAAATAGTGTTTTCCATATTATAAATAATTTTTATCATCACTTTCTGTGAGTCTTTTTATTTTAAGGATGTTCACTTTGATCATAAGCTCTATCATTGCGAATTTTCATTTTTTCATCTAAATTCTGGATTAAAAAGTCAGAAGTTGAATGAAATTTTTTTAAAATACCAAGATGCATGGACTTCTCGGAGTAAATAATCGACTTATTAAGTATTGAGATTTAGTTCGATAAAGTTTTCAACTGTTACCAAAAAAGTAGCATAGAGTTCGTGCTACTCAGTAGGAGGACAAATTAATAAAATAGTAGGAGGAAAAGGAATTACTTTTGCTTTTATTAAAAACTAGTCAATAAGATTTTCAACTGAAATCTTTGAAACAAACATGTAATATTAATTATTATTTATAATAATTAATTAATATAATATTATCAATTGTTTTGAATAAAGTGCGCCAACATATGCTTCATTATTCTGAACATTCATTTCATTATTTTAATTTTTTTTCAACAATTTTTTATAATATTATAATATTTTGGTATGTTCTTTTATACCACGAACTTTATAGTTACGTGTTAAGTTTTATTAAAAACGTAAAAAAATTAAAAAAGAAATTCTAACATTTAATTGTGAAGAAACATTTGATTTGGAAAGCATGAACAAAAATTCTAATCACCTCAGGTGCAGTCATTGATTGCCTGATGAGCAAATAATCAAAACGGTGCAGTCGTTTCAAAGAAAAGTTGGAATAATAAAATGAAATAAAAATCTTTTTTTTTTTTAAGGTTGTCAAATATCTCCCTTCCGCCTTTTTGTATTATAAACCAAGAGCAAAAAGCGGAAGGGAGATATTTGACAACCTAATATATATATATATATATATATATATATATATATATATATATATATATATATTTGTAAGCACTCTTGGCTTATTTGTTTGTGAAATATCAGATTACAGATTTAAGTCAAATAAGAAAAATAAAAAAATCTTATATACACATACACAACTTTTTTCCAATTTGGTGTTAGACGATTCATAGTGACTTGAAAATTCGAGAAAACGTATAATTAGCAAGACGAATTTACTGGCGAAATTTTATAGAACTAAACTACGGGAAATTAAAAAATATTTTATGTATTATATTTTATAAATGGTATCGCACCTCTCAAATAAATCACATATCATTCAGATCAATCAGGCATATTTCGCACGAACCTTCCAGTATTCTCGATGTTTATAGCTGATTTTTAATCAACGCCTTAGCATAAGAACTATGCATTAATTTTAATATACTTTAAAGAAATAATTTCAACTTTGCAATTTAGTTTATATAATTCTTATAAATATTAGACAATGCTACAATATTAATAATAATCTATTTGAAAACATTTAATATTCCTTTAGCATTTCGTTACGGTCCGGGAAGTTCCAGCAATTTGCCTTAAGGCACGATGCCATACACGACAAGTTTCCAATTATAATGTCGAGGAAACATATTTATTTATTTATTCATTTATTTATTTTACAAGCCATCGGTATAATAATATTATAATAAGGCCCAAGTCAATATTTTGCAGATTTAATATAATTTAATTAACTGTTAGCTATTTTATTAATTATTTATTTATTATTTGATTTATTTACTATATATATGTACTTCTTACTGCTATAAAGAATATAAACCCAAAATGGACGTCAAACTGCTAAAATCCAGGATAATAAAAAAAAACTACAAAATCTCCAGGTCCAGCCGTTTCGAAGATACGGGCAAAAAGTGCCAAAAATGGTAATTCAGCTATTGAGACAATGGAGCAACCGTATTGAATGATTCAAAAAACATTATATTTATATTGACGAAACGAAGAACTAATTCTGGCGGTTTTGGAGATCCCATAAAAAAGTAAAAAAAATGTCATTCGGCGGTGGTCAAAAATGATCATTAGACATATTCATAGATAATTAAGTATAATATATTCACAATAAAACGTCAGGTATTTTATAAAGATTTTAATAATCAATAAAAATTTTGTTTATATTTTATATGTTCCGTACTAATGTTCATCCGTTGGTCAGCTACGTCGCGGCGCTTACGCGCTTTGATATTTTGTCTCTAAAACTTATCCATTAACTCTTATACCAGGCAGCCCTGTCTGACTGACACATGGTAATGAATATAATGCTAAACTATATTGGGGTGCATGGCATCGTGCCTTAAGGCAAATTGCTGAAACTTTCCGTACCGTAATTATAAATCTTGGTACGGAACCCAAATAAAAATTACACAAAATTTGTAGACATTATTAAAATCTCTATAAAACATCTGATAATTTGATAAACACATGTCCAATAAACATTTTTGACCGCAAAATGACATTTTTTTAACTTATTTTTATTTAGAGTCCATAACCGCTGGATCTGCCTTCCCAAAAATTTAATCAGTTCTTCATCTTGTTAATACAAGTAAAATCTTTTTTGAATAATTAAAATCGGACACTCTGTTCTCTTAAAAACTGAGTTACTGTTTTTGGCACTTTTTTGTGTCTTCGGAACGGCTAAACCTGCTTTCGCCAAAACTAATCAGCACGTCTCTTTATTAATACGAATCGAATGTTGTTTGAGTTATTCAAATCGGTTGATCGGTGTTCCCGAAATCGTCGACGAAAATTTGTATCCGCACACACACACATACATCAATTTTTTCTAAGGTATGCCAAAATGTTCAGAAACTTAAAACGTAAAGATATATAAAATTTCCATTTTTGTTTTTTTTGCGACTACTATAACTTACCCTACGGGAAGTTAATAAAAAAAAACAGCTACACAGCGCAATTATCTTGTGAAAGTTCAGAATCTAAAAAAAACTCCAAATTTTCTTAAATAAATCTTTTTTAACTTCCCGTAGGGCAAGTTATAGTAATCGCAAAAAAATCGAAAAAGAAATTTTTTATATATCTTCACGTTTCAGAGGTTTCTGAACATTTTGGCATAGTGTGTATGTGTGTGTGTATGTGTGTGTGTATGTGTGTGTGTATGTGTGTGTGTATGTGCGTGTATGTGCGGATACAAATTTTCGTCGACGATTTCGGGAACACGGATGAAGCTATTTGAATAATTCAAAAAACATTTCGATTTGTTTTTTGGTGAAGGCAGGTCTAGCCGTTCCGAAGATATGGGGCAAAAAGTGCCAAAAACAATAACTCAGTTTTTAAGAAAACGGAGCGTCCGATTTGAATAATTCAAAAAACATTTTACTTGTATTGACAAGATGAAGAACTGATCAAATTTTTATGAAGGCAGGTCTAGTAAAAAAAGTAAAAAAATGCCATTTTGCGATCAAAAATGATCATTAGACATATGCACATCAAATAATCAGATATTTATTAGAGATTTTAACAATAAGTATGAATTTTGTTTACATTTTTATGGGTTCCGTACCAATGTTTACGCGTTAGACGGCGACGCGGCGCTTACACGCTTCGATATTTCATCTCTGTACAGTTAAAGCAGTACGATCGCTTTGAAAAAAAGTTCAGAATTTCCAAAATATTTCAAAATAAATGATTTAAGATAGAATGATTTAATATGGTTCGAAATTTTATTAAAAGTTTCGAATCGATTGATCAACTTTTATTGATTATTATTGGTTATTTTTAATTACTCGAATTTTGAATTGCGGTACGGGAAGTTCCAGCAATTTGCCTTATGGCACGATGCCTTAATTGCTTTAAGACAGAATTCCACTTACAGCTAGTTTTTCAAAAATTTCAAATTTCTCAAAAATCATATTATTCTTCAAAGTTTTCAAAATATTTTAAAGTTTTATTAAAAATTTTAATTTTTGGTAGGGAAAGTTTCAGTAATTTTCCTAAGGCACGACGCCATGCACCACTAGTTTGAGTATTTTTCTTCCTCCAATTAGTGCTTGTATCTTGTATCAAATCGTCCTGCATACATGCACATGTCCATGTGCGGATGCAGAAGTGCGAACGTTTTACAGTAAACTGCGAGAAGTAACCCGGTAGTGGTATAAGGTAAACGGGCAAACCTATATCCTGTGTCCGTTCGACTTCCGTCGGAGATGTTGTAGTTCTCTTTTCCCAGACCGGAGGCCGGACCACTACTCGCTTTATTTATTTATTATTTCCGATCGACGTGTAGTATGTACACGTAGTATTCAGTGTACGACTAGATGACTAGAACCATCTCGATTCTCGACGGCTTATCTTATGGGACAGGTTTACATTCACACGCACTGCAATCGACTCCGGAGTCCGGAGAACATCCCAAGATCGTTTTCTAAGACTTGATGACAGGTTGGCTCGTTGGCGAACGATAATTAGAAGAACTTATGAAAATTTATTGTATAGATACATATTTTCTGGGTTTGGCATTTTGCATTTTTCACTGGCAAAAAACTATTTTTCTAGGCTAGAAATTCTAGCTACCATTTGTTATATTTTCAAAAACAAAAATTCCTAATTTGTTGGACATTTTTTTCTATTTACTATGTTTTGGTAAATAAACCTTGCTGCGGATAATATTTTTATATAAAATACTAGCAAACCCGACGAACTTCGTTTTGCCACCAGATGGTTTCGTGAGAAAGTTGAAGAAAATTTTTGTTTGTTTTACATTT